TTTCTTTGCTGATCTTTCTCTCCTCCTCCTGACTGAACAATGGGATGCCCGAGGGCCCAGTCCTCCTTGCTCATCACTCCCCTCCCTATTCTCTCCCTGGGCATTCCCCTCAAGCCCTATGACTTGACATTCCATCCAAACGTGATTGATCTCCAAATACACTTCTTTGCCTCTGAGCGTTCCCTTGAACTCCAGACACCTATATCTCCAACCACCCAACTGCCTTTTCATTTAGATGTCTAATAGGCATCTCAAATCTATTATGTCCAAAATTAAACCCTTGATACCATCCTTTCTCCACAATTGAGTTGCCCTCAGCAAAAGGAAATCACTCTTCACCCAGGTATGCAGGACCGAAAGTTAGGAGAGATCCCAGACTCCTCTCTTATTCTTGCTTCCTCACACCCCACATCCCATCCGTCAGTAAATCCTTTGACTCTACCTACAAACTAGATTACAAATCCAATAATTTTTCACCTCCTCCACCACTGCCTTCCTAGCCTAAGCTGCTATTATCTGTCACTTTCAGAAAGTTTACAAGCCATTGCAAGCCATCGGTAGCTTGAAATCAGCTATGGTAAAAATATTTATGCCATGGAAATCGGCAAATGCTACAAATCAGGTCTCTCCCTTAAACATCCCCCTCCCGCCCCACCCAGAGAACTGTATCAACGCCCAAACTGTTCCATTTCTCCTGTTATTCCATTCCTTCATTCATACCTCACCTTATGTACATGCCTCAGAGAGGTCTAACCTCGCCCAGCTATCTGAACAGCAACCATTGGCTCCATGTTTGCTGTCCCTTACCTGATTTTATTTTCCTTCCTAGCATTTCTCAGTTCCTGACACTATGCTTTTTGTTTTGTTTTGTTTTGTAGCTGTCTGTTTCTCTTCTCTAGCATGTCAGCCCATGAGGGCCGGGATTTTTTGAGTTCTCTGCTCTGTCCCCAGCACCTTGCACAGTGAAAATTACTCAATAATTAATTAAGCGATAGCTGCCTCCAATTAATTTACACAGCACATATGGATTGAGTATCCACGCTGAGCCAGGTCCATGATAGAGGCCTGGGGACCTACAGTCAAAACTATGGATCCAGGGTGAAGTGGAAGAGACAGAGTCATATAGAAAATACATGCCTTCCAAATGTGCTTGGAGCTGTGATGGGAGTTCAGGGCTGCAGCACTCTGGAGCTGCTTCTCAGACTTTCTGGGCTCCAGGCCTCTGAATGTGCTGTGGTCTCACTTCTTAGCTCTCTCTTCCTCAACTCAGAGGTCCTCAGCAGGCACCTGCTATCTCCAGTGCTCAGGTCTTTCTTCCCACAGTCCCCTGTGCTTGAAACTCTCTTCCCTGACTTCTCCACTGGAAAACAGCTCCTCCTCCTTCACAGCCCCTCCTTTGTCCCCTTCTTACTGCCTCCACCCTAACTTTCCTAAGTTACAGCTCACCGCACCAAGTGGCTAGGTTGTCATTACGCCTCACACACCGACCTACCTCAGTACATGTGAACCTCTGCCCATATTCATTCATTCATTCATTCAACAAGCCCTACTCTCGGCCTGCTCTGAACCACGCCTGGGCTGGGTGCCGGAGGCAGAGATCTAGACCAGGCCTGTTTCACCTTGGTGTTCCCTGAGGGTGGGGACCACATTTGCTTCATTTCAGGACCTCCAGTGCCCAGTACAGGGCCTGGCCCAGAGCCTTCACTCATCAGTGTTTGCCGAATTGAACTGAACAGAGTGCATGAATATTCTGTGCCTAGAAGGGGAAGTCACCAGGATAGGTTCACTACCTGAGGCATCTGGTTCATGGTTAGGGGCATCGGGCCCCTGTGGCAGGACTGTCTGTCTGTCCATCTGGTGCAGACACATGGGTGGAGGGAGGTGAGAGGCCCCCACTCCAAGGATCCTCTGCCCCTTTGGATAGCCAACACTCCACACACACACACACACACACACACACTACCTTGTCTTTGGGTGTCTGTTTCTTGATGACCTTAGCCGCCAGCTTGAGGCCTGTGGCTTTCTCTGTGCAGGTACAGACTGCTCCAAATTTACCGCTGGAGAGAGAAGAGGCTGGGAGTTAGGGGGTTCCCAAGGGCACATGGCTGGGAGCCTTGTGCTCTGTTCTCATCTGGATCCCCTGTGAGATGGGAATGTTCACCCCAGCCAATCCTGACTCCCTTTTGAAGCTCTACTGCAGGGATAATGACTGAACTACATAAACCATGGGCATAGGAAGGACAGGCTTATCTGAAGGGTGGCCCCTGAGGTAACAACTCACAGGCTTGTGCCAGGTAGTGGCCCTGGGACTCTGGGCCCCAGGGGAGGGCGCCGTCGGGGTTTTTTACAAAGCAGGAATCACCCTGAGGGGGTCAGTGTGGTGCCTGAAACTGAGACAGGAAAATACTGTGTGCTTCCTATGGGGAATGCTGAATAACCAATGGTGTGTGTGTGAGCGACAGTGACATGAGTATACATCGGCCATGTGACAGCTTGTACAAGACAGGTGTGACTACTAGAAACAACTGTGTCCACGTGGGTCATATTCAATGCAGTGTGGCTGGTCCTTGCATGGGGAACTTGTGAGGCCCCAGGGAATTCGATGCTCTCCTGCCCATGGGCCAGGGGTTCGGGGTCCCAGCTCTCACCCGCCCAGCGTCTCCTTGGAGTTCATGCTGAACTGACTATTGACGTTCCCGGTTCTCAGCTCCACGATGCGGTGGGAGAAGGGGGCAGGGGGTGGTGGGCAATCGTCTGGAGAAGCAGAGCACAGCCATCACAGTCAGTACCAAGAGCTCCTGTGGATCCACCCTGGCACCACCCTCTCCTGCCTGGCCTGGGCCCATCCTGGGAAATTCATTGAGTGACACCTTGGTGGACAGCTGGCTCCAGGACAGGGGCTAGGGAGCTCAGTTTCCAATTTCATCTCTGCCACACAGTGGCCTTGGGAGGCCTCTGCTTCTGACAGAGAGGGGCTCAGCTGCTCCTGGCATAACAATGGGGCCGGCTGATTGGAATTCTCTGACCCTCCCACATTATAAGGCATGAAGATTCCACCCCTAGCTATCTTCACTGCCATTGGGGGGGAAAAAAAAAGCAACTATAACGGTGAGTGCCAGATAGGGGTTACTATGTCTGATGGCATAGATGATGGGACCTTCCTCCCACCCTCTCTAATTACACCACAAGCTGGCTCAACATCTGAAATGGGTGTCCAACCTGGGTATAGCCCAGGGACCCGGGCGAGGAGCCGGGGAGAGGGAGGGAAGGAGGCAGGGACGGCGAAGTTTGGTAGGGAACTCTGCCACCTAGTGACAACCACAAGGAACAGCTTGCCTTGGCCGTCAACAGGCTGAATCATCGGGAATGGAAACCTCTTTATAAATAGCAAGAGGCGGCAGGGAAGCCAGGCTGGTGATAAATCAGACAGCCCTTAGAGGTTGTTCAGGTCCCGTCACCTTAAGGATTTGATTTCTGGGAGGGGCAGAGGTCTCGGCGGCTGCTCGGGGGAGGAGGCACGGCTCCTGGCTGCCGCCCAGCCGCCAGGCCCTCCCGCCCTGGCTGGGTGGCACTGTGCCGCTCACCAGGCAGGTTGGCGGGTCTCCCAGGGCACCTCGGCCTGGAGGGGGGTTGTCAGGACATTCTGGGCTCTCCTGACCCCATCTCACCCCACCCCCAGCCCTGCCGCACCCCTGCCCAAACCCTTTCCCTGTTCACCTAGCTGCCAAGCTCACGCATGCTCAGTGGCTCCCTCCAGCCCGCTGAATAAACCACAGCTCTTCTGATCATCAATCAGTTACAGCCGCTTCACAATCCTGCCCCATCTCACGTGCCTAGCTTCCTTTGTCACTGCTCTCACACATAGATACCTGTGTTCCTCAGCTCATGAACCCTCTATAGCTCCCATGACCCTCCCCACCTCGTCCAGGATGTATGTAGTTTGACTACCAAAGCCTGGCATTCGAACCCTTCTACAGAGGGACTTCAAATTCCACTTTCCAGAGTGTTGATGTTGCTCCTGTACCCTGCCTAACTTTTTTCAAAACCCATTTTGGCCAAAGTAGAAGGAAGTCAAAAGTGAGCTCTGTAGTCAGGCTGTCCTGGCAGGTTCAAATCCTGTCCTAGCTATGGATTTTGGGGCGCTCACTCCATTTCCTTTTTTTGAGCCTGTTTCCCCATCTATCAAAAGGGACTGGGAACTCGTGCTTCCTGAAGTTGTGTGGTGCTGAAATGAATCCGCCTGGGTGAGGCATGGCTCAGAGCAGTTCAGTCCTCTAAACCGGGAGACATGGGGAGCCCCCTTCCCTCCTCCCTCAGCCCAGGAAGCCCCAGACCCAGTTCATTCCCCCACCCCAAGCCCGCCCCTGGCCTACCCAAAATCTGGAAGCAGTCCTCCTCCCTGGCTGTGAGACAGAGATCCTGCCCCACCTCCAAGCTCTCTGAGGGCACAGCCTGGAACTCGAATCCCCTGGAGATGTCCCCTTGCACCTTAGCCTGGTCAGCCTGGCCTGAAGCCTTCTCTCCTGCTTCCTTCTGGCTGCCTTCCAGGAAGTTCTTCTCTCCTGCTGCCTTGGCTGGCCCAGGTTCCATGGGGTCGGGGGTCATGGGCACCCCTTCAAAGATGAGCTCTGATGCCTCATTTGGGGGCTTCTGGGCCAGCAGTTTCTCAGGGCTAGAAGGTGAGAACACAGAGGTGACGCCCTTAGCAGCCACAGCTCTGCCGTGGCCTCCAGCAGGTCTCAATGCTTCCAGAGCCTCATCTGTAATCTGGAGCTAAACAACCCTGCCCTCCCACCACAAATGCATGGGGTAATGCATCCAAATTCACTTTATACAAAATCCAGGGATGTTAATAATACCATAAATATCTATGGTCATTATCTTGACTATCAACACACTAATACATCATTCAAAACTATTAATAGGATTGTTGATATGGTTAGTTATTATGTGGATGTAATTAGGGAGATTACGTAGCTCTTGATTCATAAAAACTGTTCCAATGCAATTGCTATTAATACATAATTCAAATTAACATAATGTTATTATAATTTATAATATATCAATGACCTCATTAATATGATTAGCACTTAGGTAATTATAATTGATTGCATAAGGTTGGTGCATTATTATGAAAAATATTAGTAAGTTATACAGCTATTAGTAAAGATTTACCAATCTAGTTATTAGTCATCTTTCCATATTATACTGATAATTACATTAAGAAAAGGGGTTATCCTTTCCTCCTGACATCTTGGCCCCACCCTCAGCTAGACTCAAGTTCATGGAGTAAGGGGAACTCTGGACCCCAGGTGCCTAGGGAAAAGGAGTTCTGCCTAGGTGGTCTCTGAGGACCTCTCCTGCCTGACATTCCTGGCTTCTATGAACGGTCACAAAGTCCTGGTTTCTGGTAGGGGACAAGAAGGTAGGGCCAATGCCCAGGACAAAGGGAGCTGAACATCGAAACTACCAAATCCAGCATGGGATGTAAAGAGCAATTCCCAGGAACAAAGAGCTCAACATGACTCCTGGAGACAGAGCCCAGGACCCCTCCCCACTCCCAGGCAGGGGGCATTCACCTGGAAATGACGGCAGGACAGCTGGGGCTGTGCAGAAAGGCAGGGGAGCCCCTCCTGGCCGCTGCTTGGTCTTCTGCTGCCTTCTCCTTTCTTGCCTTGAGCTCTCCGGGGTCCTGGCTTTCTGAGGTCCCTTGCTCTTTGTTGGGCTTCTTGACAGCGGCTTCTGCTGTTAAGGTCGGCTGTGGTAGGGCTGCTGGCTGCCCTGCACTGCCCTCCGCAGGCCCCCTACCCAGGTTGCTTTCTCCCTCTGGGCTCTGGCTGCTAGTTAAGGGTTGGGCAAGGGTGTTATCCCCTTTCTCTGGGGCAGGGGCTTTGGCACCTTTCTTCAGGATGGGTGGACCAGATTCTTTCTTGGGGTCTGGGCAGCCAGATTTTTTCTTTGGGTCTGAGATGCCAGGTTCTTTCTTTGGGTCTGAGGGACCAGTTTCTTTCTTTGAGTCTGGGGGGCCAGAATCTTTCTTTGGGCCTGGAGGGCCAGATTTTATCTTTGGGCCTGGAGGGCCAGGCTCTTTCTTTGAGTCTGGGGGGCCAGGTCTTTTCTTAGGGTCTGGGGGCCCAGATTCTTTCTTTAGCCCTAGGGCGACAGATTTTTCCTTTGGGTCTGGGGGACCAGGCTCTTTCTTTGAGTCTGGGGGCCCAGGTTTTTTCTTTGGGTCTGGGGGACCAGGCTCTTTCTTTGAGTCTGGGGGCCCAGATTCTTTCTTTAGCCCTAGGGCGACAGATTTTTCCTTTGGGTCTGGGGGACCAGATTCTTTCTTGGGGTCTGGGGGGCCAGTTTCCTTCTTTGAGTCTGGGGGACCAGGTTCTTTTTCGGAGTCTGGGGGGCCAGATTCTTTCTTTGGGTCTGCGGGGCCAGGCTCTTTCTTTGAGTCTGGGGGGCCAGTTTCCTTCTTTGAGTCTGGGGGACCAGGTTCTTTTTTGGAGTCTGGGGGGCCAGGTTCTTTCTTTAAGTCTGGGGGCCCAGGTTCTATCTTAGGGTCTCGAGGCCCAGATTCTTTCTTTGGATCTGGGGTGCTAGGCTCTTTCTTTGAGTCTGGGGGGCCAGTTTCCTTGTTTGGGTCTGGAGATCCAGGTTCTATCTTTGGGCCTGGGGAGCCAGTTTCTTTCTTTGAGTCTGGGGGGCCAGATTCTTTCTCGGGGTCTGGGGAAACAGGTTCTTTCTCTGGGTCTGGAGGGCCGGGTTCTTTCTCTGGGTTTGGGGGGTCAAGATCTTTCTCTGTAGCTGGGAGGTCTTCGCCTGCTGCACCTTTGGGTGCCTTGTCTGCAGAGAAGGTGAGACACCAGTCAGGATCTATCCTCACCCCCCTCCTTCCCCAGCCAGGCTGGCCAGAGGCCTGCTCTGAGCCCAAGACCCCACCCAGGCAACAGTTTGCAAATGCTTGTCCCACTGAGCTTCTGGGGCCACTTGATGGGCTCTAAAGATGAGCTGTCAGAATCTTGGAGGCCTATATGGGAGGCTTCTGATCCTCTGGGGAGCCTGAATGCCCCCCATCTCTTGCCCAATGTTTAGGTGCCATCCATGGGGGCTTTATATTTTCCCAGTCTCTCCCGGAAGGGATCCATGTAGGCCCTTGACCCAGCTCAAACCTACCCAGAGATCATTCTGATTTCTGGGTCCCCCACGCTGCTCCATACAAAGAGGCCTCAGGCACAGAACTCCCACTGAGGGAGCAGCCCAACCCTGGATTCAAACACCCCTTCCCAAGCTCCTCCCTCCGTCTTCTGCCCCAGCTTGGCACCTGTTGATGAGTTCTGGATTCCCAGCTCGGCTGCTCCATTTTCTGTCGCCATGAGGTAGTGAGGCGTGTGCTTCTGCTTGTCTAACTCAAATCTTTCCAGCTGCAGAAAGAAGCATGAGGTGTGTCAGGCTGTCGAATTCCTCCTCTTTTCAAGCCGAGAGGAGACCAGGGCCAGCTGACTGAGGGGGAGAGAGGTACCTGGAGCAGAGAGGGGCAACCTGGTGGCCGTCCGTTTTGCAGCAGCTGCCCAGGAGCAGTCCTGGGGCAGTTGTAAGGGATTGGGCCGGGTGGGCAGAGGCGGAGGCAGGGGCGCAGGCAGGGTAGGCGGGGACGGAGGAGAGGATCTCTTACACCAGGGGCCATGCAGCTCGGACTGCCACCACCTGTCACTCTTGGCCCCTGTTCAGAGGACACGGCATTCTTCCCACGGACTAACTGGGGGGGCAGGGGTGGGGTGTGGGGGGCAAAGTGGTGTTGGAACAAGCAGGAAGAAAAAAGGAGGGGGTACCTGGGGCCCCAGGGGAGCAGGCTTTTCCCAGGCCTTGACTTGGGATCAAGGAGGGGGCCTAGAAAAAAAGGGGCTCTCAGGCAGGGCTGAAGGGAAAAACTATGCCCAGTCTGGGTGTTGGCTCTTTCCACCTGCATGACACATCTCCCAGGGTCCCCCAGAACCTACTTAGAGCCACGTAGACCCAGAAATAATCACCCTGACCCCAATGCCCAGCTCTGCATCCATGAGCCTTGCCCCTGGCAACCAGACCTACTTGGAGCATCTTTGGGTAAGAAATTGTCTCAGGCGCACTTGCTCAACATGCCAATGGGCTTGAAAGCCTTTTCTTTTGAAAATGTCTTTTTCCCGGGCTCCTGGGGAGTTGGAGGCTGCCCCAAGAGGCTATGGGTGATGCTTAGTGCTTCAGTGCTGCTCCCCTGAGCTGCTCCAGGTCTCTCCAAGGACCTGCCTGGAAGGAGGGGGCTGATGGAGAGTCTTTTCCAAGGATCCTCCATCACACAGTGCCCCAGGGGCCACTCCAGACGAGGTGTTCGGGCTGAGATGAGGTGAGGTGTGATCCAAAGGGCTTTCCATCACCCAGAAGCCGTCTGCCCTGAGCCTTTCTCTGAAAACTAGCCAAGCCGAGTGTGGTGGAAATAGCTGTAGAGTGGGTGTCTGGGTTCAGGTCCCAACTGTAGCAAGCCTCAGCCCCTCTAACTGTCAAATGGAGGAGAGAACCCCCCGCCCTCAGATGGGAAAAAGCGGGGGAATGACTTGAGAATGCAACATGTCTAAACAATGGGAAATTATGTCGCAGCTGTAAAAAAGATCGAGGAAGTTGTGAATAAACTGATATGAAGCAAACTCCAAAGTAGAAAGAGAGAGAGCGAGAGAGAGAGAGAGAGAGAGAGAGCGAGAGAGAGGAGAGAGAGAGAGAAAGAGAGAAAGAAAGAAAGAGAGAGAGAGAGAGAGAGAGACTGAGAGGAAGGAAGGAAGGAAGGAAGGAAGGAAGGAAGGAAGGAAGGAAGGAAGGAAGGAAGGAAGGAAGGAAGCAAGCAAGCCAGGCACAGAATAGAATGTAGAGTACGCTATTATTTGGGCAAAAGGGAGGTAAAATATATAATATTTAACATAACCATATATGTAATAATACATAATTTTTTACTTTATACACATAAGAATTTTTTTGGCAGGATAAGCAAGCAATAGGCCCAGAGGTAGGAGGAAGACAAATGCCTACCCTTTAACTTTTAATTTGAATTATGAGCTATGTGAACTGATTACTATTCAAAATGAGCAATTCTTTTTTCTGTAAGCAAATGTTGAGGAGGTTGGTAGAGGCTGGCAAAAACCAGAATCGTAGCTCCTTCCCCAGGCTTGACAATTTTTGTTCTGCCTGGTCCACCCTCCTGACCTGGCCCTCCCATCCTCCATTTCTCTCTGTCAAGGTCCAATTGACAGCCTGCCTCTTCTAAGAAGCAAAAATAACAACTAATGCCTATCTAGTTAGTACTTGCCACGTGTGCCAGGCTTCGTTCTAAGTGCTCTTGTGTAGATTCACTGATGTGATCTTCAGAACAAACCAGTGAGGTAGGTACAACTATAGGGAAACTGGGGTGCAAAGAGGTTAAGTAACTTACCTATAGCCACCTGGCTTGTAAGGGACTGAGCTGGGATCTGAACCCAGGCTCTCCGAAGGGAAGGGAGCTCCCATTTTTTGAGTACCTGCTATTGTTAGCTTTATCCATATTGTCTTAAAACATCATCTTGATAATAACGCTGTGGGGAGCTTTCATCTTATTTTCTAGTTAGCGACAGGATCAAAAGAATGAGTAAGTTGCCCAAAGTCTGAGTAACTTGACCAGAGTCGCTCCACAAGGAAGGGAGTTGAACCAGAAATATCCTTCTTCACAGCCCAAAGTCCTCTTTCTACTGTAAAATTTCCCAGCCTCTCTGGGGTCCCCCTACTCCTCTCTGGGGTCTCATAGCATTCTGAAGGTTGAAATGCTTCCTGTCCACGCCTATTATTGGAAGCCCCTGGCCCTATTTGGTCATCTCCATAGCATGTTCTGGTTTAGCTTGAAATGTTGGCTCCCTCTCCTCCGGCCTCCTTCAACTCCAAGTTGACCTCACTATTGACACTGTCTGGGAGCCCCTCGAGGGCAGAGGCTGTATGACGTTCAATTCACGTGCATTCCTGGCACAAAGGGTACTTGCCAGTGTTTGATGAATGACTAGCAAGGATCCGAACAGGGTTTGCGGGTTACTCTGCTATGATGGCCCCTGCTGACACCCTCTTGTTATTTGTGTGATTGTCAATACAACTCATTGAGTGAGTGCTCACTAAGGGCCAGGACTGATTCTGCCAAAGGCTTCACCCCAGCTCACTGGATCCTCGCAAGGGACTCAAGGGACCAAACGACTCCAGGGGACCATTTCAGTGGTGAAGAAACTGATGCTGAGAGAGAGTAAGAGGCTTGTTCCTAAAGTCATGCAGCAATTAAGTAGCCAGCTTCAAATTCCCCAGATTCATATTGAAAGCCATCTACCGATGAGACCAAAATCCAGGCCAGGACAACAACGTAAGTGGCTTGATTTGCTGCCTTTGTCACTGTTTTATTTCCCGAATAAGAACTAGCATTTCTTGAACTCACGTAAATAGGCCAGACCCTGGGTAAGCAACTCTGTGAATGCCTTCCATTTAATTCTGACGATATGGGTAGTGGTTAGCTCTGTCCGTGGAGCTGAGACTAATAACAGGCCTGGGCAAATGCCTTTTCTGTTTCCTCATCTCTAGGACAAGCACCTTCCTCACAGGGGTAGGTATACAAGGCATTCTGAACAACCTCCCCATAGTAAATGCTTTATAAATGTCAGCTATCTCTACCCCATTTCACAAATGTGATAGGAAAACTGGGTCACAGAACAAACTCGCAGAGTTGGGTTTGAACCAAGGCTCAGCTCATCACTACTCTGTCCCATGGCCTCTCTCCTGGGGTGGCTGGGAGCATTTAGTGAGCACGTATATCAGAGTGCTTGGCACAGTACCCGTGGCACTGTGGGGTACGTTGTAGGCACACCGGGTAGAGGGCTCAGCTGTCCCTGCAGGCTTCTCCGTGGTCCCTCCTGCTGGGATGAGAGACTGGCTTGATTTTGGGTCCACAGGATTGCCTCAGCTTGCTTGCCACCCTGGCTGAGCTCAGCTTGGCTAGCTGCTCCTGGGAGTCCCCAGGCTTCTGCTCAGTGCTCCCTTGGAGGCACAAGGGTGGGGCACAGGAAACTTCCTCCACCCAGCTGGAGGCTGCCAGAGCTCCTGCCCACCCTTTAGAAGGGGCTTTCCTGCTCTGCACCAGCAGCGCAGGCTCCCTCAATGCCTCTACAGGGGCAGGGCCAGAAGTGGACAATGCCAGGACCAATTAAACTCGCCAGGGGAATTAAGGTCAGCAGGATGCAATTATGCCTGTTGGATTTAACAAGGCAAGTGGGAAGGTATCTCCAGCCAGAGTTCACGGCTCCTTAGGCCTCTTGCCCTGGATGGCTCTGCACTTCGGAAGACTGGGCTCCCAGGCTCACCCATTCCTGAGAGGATTCCTTGGGAGTGGAGGGGTTAACTCCAGCCAGGAACTGCTTCCCTGGCTCAGAGGAGGAAATTGATCCAGCCAAGAGGCTTTTAAAATGACCTGCTCAGAGGAGACATTTCCCGGCCTGACCCTCTCCCTGCTCGCGGTGATGGAAAATCTGGGGAGTTGAGCAATGACCTTTCTGATTCCAAAGAGAGCAGCCAAGTCCCCTCACAACTTTTCTTTGGTTCTGGATTGGGTGCCACTCAGGGCTGTTTTCACCAGTTCTCTCCCACCTGGGGCCCCTGAGCCCGGGGCCTTGGCAGTGCCTCTCAGGCCTCTGGGAAAGCCTGCAATCAGGCTGCTGTCCTTATAGCAGACTCTCTTCTAGGCTGGTAAGCAGAGCTCTGTGGACACTCTGTGTGGCCAATTGGACATAGATTTCTCTGGAAGCTCAAACAACACACTGTTCTGTCCCAGAATTATAGAGCTTTATTGCTAAGATTATTTACTGAGTGCTCTTCTCTCTGGCAAGGACTAAACTGGTCACTTTAGGGACAGAGAGATGGAGTTGCAGAAAAGCTATGGAATCACCACATAGTGCATTTTAGGTGAAAAAAACGATTGTAAAATCATTCATGAAATGGGATCTTTTTTTGTTAAAAATAATTATAGAGAAACTGTCAGAGGGATAGAAATATATATATTAGCAGGTGTGGAAGTACAAATGGTTTTTATTCTTTGGATTTTGCAGATTTTTTTGAAATGACCATTGGTTAACTGAGATTAATAAATAATTCAAAACATTAATGCGGACACTGATTTCTACAATTCAAGACAGAAAATGATCAGAGCTATAAATGAAATATAAGACACCGTGAGATTTCAGAGGAAGGAACTATGATCAAGGATGACTTCTCAGCCAAAGGCACAGCTAGCTCAGGCTTTCTCAGTACCCAGGCCCCAGAGTTTGCTTAAAATGAAGCCTCCTTGGCAGGGGGC